CGCAGTATTTGTCTTCTCTCTGTTCTAACGAATTGGATAAAGGGGATCCAATGTTTCAAGTTCCTGAAAAGACGACACCCCGAATCTACTACGAGAGGGCTGGACCGTTTGCTAACCTTGCGTTGTAAAACTGCAGTGGAACGGACAGAGTTAGAAATTTATCGGGAATGTATTCCTTCCTGTGAATTTCCGATGTGGTTCTCAAAATTACTCTTTAAAGAGAAGTTGGAAATCAACACAGTCAACTTAGTTAGAATCACCGATTTCTCAAATGAACAAGTTCATCGAGACACAACAACGTTTTGCTGTTCTTCCACGTGAACTCCATTTATTTTGTCGCATCAAGTATGAGAACTTCTCACGAATGACAATTTGGAGAACGAAAGCAAGAACACTAGCAAAACTGGCAAGCTCCCTATGTCGACCTCATAATACAGTTCCCGTTTCAAATAGCACAAGTGGACGTATCCACAATCTTTCCGGCACTGTTTTCACAAAACCACAACTTGACGTACTTTCACTCGATTTGAACTTCAAGATTCCCCAAAAGAAGGTGAACGAGATTCAAACAAAACTTGAACTCGGAAACCTGTTTGACCAATTTAAGGATCTTTTGGCAACCTCGGCTGATAATGCTGGTTGGCTTCGTGCTAAAATTGTAGACATTTTGCACATCTTCCTTTCTGCCCCTACAAGACAACAAACGTGTCTCAAAGCAGAACACTATAAAGACATTTCTTATTATTATTAGGCAATAGCAACCTAAACATTTGGCACAACCACACTCATGTACACTACCAGATACTGGAATAGGTACACCCATAGCTTATAATGATCAGTCTTAAAGATTTGCAGTGTTTGAAGGCCGGCTATTTCCTTGGGAAGCCGGCTATCTTATTGCCGAAAAAGTGCTTTTTCATGTTCATTCGACATCTCTGCTTCATGAGCTTGAGCTCATGACCCCTAGTGCCGTATTGGGAGCTAATAAGAAGAGACTGTCCATTCCTATCCTCGACATTTTCTGCATGATTTTGAAGGTTTCTGTCAGGTCCCCTCGCTGTCTCCTTCTTTCTAATGAGAAAAGTTGTAGAGCCTCAAATCTTTCCTCATATGGTTTTCCCCTTTGGCCTTCCACAATTCTGGTGACTAATCTCTGAACTTTCTATAAACAGGCAGAATCCTTCCTGAATAAGGGTGCCCAATCCTGTACACAATACTCTAGGTGTGGCCTGACTATGGCTTTGTAAACGGGAATGAAGACTTCCGGTCGTCTGCATGAAAGGACGGACCGTAGTCCGAATAATTCCCCCTAGCCTTACGCACTGCTACTGCACACTGGTCAGACCACTTAAAATTATTCGACACCACTACCCCCAAGTCCTTTACCCTGGTTGCAGGTTCAATAGCTAACTGGTGCTCATCNATCCGAGTGAACTTGCAGTCCGTAAAACGCCCCTGTGAGCACATGACTCTTGATGGCGTTAAGACTTAGATCCCATTCCTTTGTCCATCTAGCCACCTCCTCTAGATCCCGCTCCAGATCGCTTTTCCCATTCGATCCAACCACTTTGACGTCATATGCAAAAATGTGGTCTGACTCTGGCTTTGTGCACAGGAATGAAGACTTCCGGTCGTCTGCATGTTAGGACGGACCGTAGTGTAAATAATTCCCCCTAGTCTTTGACGCTCTTCACAGTGAACTTACGGTTTGTCAAATGCCCCTGTAAGCATATAACTCTTTAGTGCGTTAAGGCTTAGGTCCCATTCCTTTGCCATCTAGCTACCTGCTCTGAATCCCGCTCCAGAAAAATGTTCTCATGAGAACCAACTACTTTGACTTCATCTGCATAAATGTAGCACGATGAAGTCAGTGTTTGACAAGTCGTGCATGCAGAGGAGAAACGGAAGTGGTCCTAGTGCTGATCCTTGTGAATTTCCGCTATTCAGCTGAACTGGTGTCGCCGTTTTCTCACCAACCGTCATAAAGAATGGTCTTTGTGGGACAAGGGAGCCTATCTACCGGTGCAACTGTCCTTAGATTCTGAATTCTCCTAACTTGGCGAACAACAGGCAATGATTCACTGAATCAAAAGCCCTGCTGAATTCCAGGTAGCATACCTCTACGGCTTTACCCCCATCTATTTTTTCAGTAACATCCTCCAAGAAGCACAATAGATTTGTTAGTCATGAATGTTGCCTAACTAATCCATGCTGTACCTCTGTCCTGAGTATGTTCCGCTCCAGATGCAGGTACAACTCTATTTCCCTCAATCACCAAATCAGTTCAGTTCATTTCGTTCGATTCGGTGCCCAGGACGGCGATGGCAGCTTACCGGGTCATCCAGTTTCTTGCACTGGTGAGCTCCAAAGATCTTCCGGTGCTGCGACAATAGGATAAGAGATCCCATTTCAGTGATATACATGTAGAGGAGCGACTTGGAGAAGACCCCCAGTCACAGCACTCCACTACGTGGGTGTTTGTGTAGTGCTGTGTCGCACACTGTCCGCTACGATGGGAGAGTCTCACCAAGAACCTCGAAGCCCGTAAGGATGAGAGACAATTGGTTTAAAAGGACAATCTGGGGTTTGTTTGAAGAAGAAAGTTGGAAAGGAAAGTCGGGAGATAGAATGGCCATTGTGATAAAGAGAGGAGGGGAAGGAGATAGGCTTCAGGAGTTTGACACAGTTACTGTCCTCCGATGAACAAACTACCCCATACGTCTGTAATATATCGTGGCCAAATAATGTTTAATGTGTATCGAAGAATCGATGCGCCATGTGTTGCTTTATTTTAAATGTTATTGTGTTAATAACACAGCGATGTCGGTAGAGGATTATATTCGCCGACGTTTCGGTTACCGTGGGCAACCTTTCTCAAGGCAGGTTTTACAATCAAATGACTCAGAGGAAAGGATCACAAGTTAACGGATATTTCATCGTGTGTGTGTCTCTGTGTGTGTGTGTGGTGGACTGAATGATTCATTGTCCATCTTACTAACTCCCATGGAGTCAAGTGGCACCGTGACCTTTGTCGTAATTGCGCGTTAGGGATGTTAGGGTAGTCCAAATGCTCGGGATATCGATTCCGTGAATTCTGTTGACAAATGCAGAGTGATTTTTAATGGCCAAAGCTTCGGCATGTTCAAAATCCGATTTGGAGGATTTTAGAGATGTTGTAGTCTATAGTGTGACCTTCTATGGCGTGAAGAGCGATCGCTGAGCCTCGTCCTTGTTTTGTGGTTTCTCTGTACACAAGTGTTCCCATTAATCAGAGTTTAGATATTTTACATTCTTTGCTGATATCTGATATCACACAAGGAGATCGAACTTCTTTAACCCAAAAAAATTAATACTGGTGTAGAAATTTGCCAAATGTCAACTTGATTTACTTTCAAACACGATTTTTGCAGATCAACCAACGGTGTTGCCATGGGATCTCCCACCTCTCCCATTGTATCCAACCTCTTTTTACATTCAATAGAATCAAATGCTTTCTCCAGTTTTCATATGCCACCACGTTTGTACGTAAGATACGCAGACGATAGTTTTGTCAACATTAAGTCACAACACACATGCGTTTCTTGATTGTCTCAACAACCAGTGCAGCTCCATCAATTTCACAATGGAGTCAGGGAATATGAACAGAGTCATAAATTTTCTAGACTGTCACCTCAGGGTGAAACACTCATGCAAATCCATCACCAGCGTTCACAGAGAACTGACACATTCGGATAAACTTTTACATTTTAAATCAGATTATCCGCAATGTGTAAAACGGACTCTTATCTCCTCTCTGGCTGACGGAGTCAAAAAGCTCTGTAATGAGGACAATAACCGCTAAATGGAAATGAAACGCCTCAGGAAGTGCTAGAAGACAATTATGATCCGCCACTCTTAGTGTCAACGGTTCGCCACCCGAATGGTATGTGGTCAGAACCACAAGGATTACGAGGACGGACTTAAGGACTTAAACTTGTTTTCCATTCGACGCACACGCATGAGGGGTGATTTAAATGAAGCGTTCAAAATAATGAACGATTTGTCCGCCATCAAAAGTGAGGAAGTATTCTCTGCGATCCCGGAAATTGGCACCAAGGGGCATAGCTTCAGACTCCAGTGTAATCACAGTAGGCTGCAATTCTAGGCAAGGTTCTTCACCAACAGGGTGATCCCACTGTAGGATAGGCTGCCAGAACACGTGATCAGATGCAGCACTGTAGTGGCATTCAAGACCGCCCTGGATGAGNGATAACAGTCTACCCAGGAGCGGCCTACTGAGGAGTAAGAAGGTGAGAAAACACTCGCAAGCTAGCCGGTAAGGTTTCATGTTACAGATGTGAATGTATGCTAGGGAAAAGTGTTTTCTGTTAGGTATTTTCTGTGAATCTACCAGATGCCAACATTTTACATTTTATGACAGTTCCGCCAGGTTTCAATGGCCAGAATCATGCGCCTTCATACTAACCTACATTAGCTTGGCCCAGACTTAGACCGCTGAGTCTCATCTGTCTGTTTTCAGAAACACCCCAGCTAGGAACGTTTACTGAGGATTGAGACAACTAGGCCTACCAGCGATCGATCGCTGGAATCAGCAATATGCAGTTTTGGAAGCTACAAACACCCGCCAACAACACAACAATCTGGACGCTCAATTGGCTAGAAGCCACATTTCGTCCTATGCATACTGAACTGAACTGTCGTCGAGGAATGCTGGTCGTTGATCAAATATAACCTCCTCAACCTCTAGGATCTTTCCGCTCCATGAGGATTTCGGAGGTACAAGTGAAAACCGCCTTGGTGGCGAGCAGCAGTAGCTAGGGCCATTAGTTACCGAAACCGAAGTTGATGAGCTTACAAACTAACCGGCTCTCACAGGTCGTGGGTTCAATACACCACCCACAGAAATGCAGTGGGTAACCTAGTGGGGGAGGAAGAAAGGTCATTTGAAATGAAGCTGGTCCAGAAAGTGAAGCTGCAGCCAAAGAGGTACTACGGGTATGTCCAGTCAAAGGGGTCAACCGGAGAAGAGACGGGCCCACTGGTGTATGATGTAGATAGGGTTATTACTGAAAACCAGAGTAAAGCTGATGCACGCTGCGCTTACTTTAGTGGCGTGCAAAGGTTAGGCTCTGGTGTTTGACGTGTTTCTCAGCCTTCGGCAACGGATGTAGTGGAGGAACTACGCGTAACGGTCGATCAGGTATCGGAGGTACTAGGATGACTTAAGGTGTCCCAAGCTGCAGGATCAGAAGGAATTAGCCCAGCGATCATCAAACCGATTGGTGATATACTTGTGGGGTCGATTTGCAGCTGTTTTAGGGCATCACTAGCTGAAGGGAGCTTATCGTCTGACTGGTAAACGGCCTTTGTAGTAGCCATACACAAGCGCGGTACAACGACAGATGGTAAGAACCACCGACCTGTTAGTTTAACTAGAGTACCATGCAAGGTACTAGAAAAGTAGTTGAAACGCATCTGGTGAAGCACCTGGAGCGGAACATACTCATGACAGAGGTATAGCATGGTTTCGTTAAGCAACGGTCATGCCTAACAAACCTGCTGTGCTTTTTGGAGAATGTTACTGCAAAAATAGATGAGGGTAAAACCGTAGAGGTATGCTACCTGGATTTCAGCAAGGCTTTTGATTCAGTGAATCATCGCCTGCTGCTGACCAAATTAGAACGTTTCGGAATCCAAGAACGGTTGCACAGGAGGATAAGCGCCTTTCTCCCACAACGATCATTCTTTGTTACGGTTGGTGAGAAAAGGTCAACACCAGCTCAGCTGACCCTTGGAGTTCCACAAGGATCAGTGTTAGGACCGCTTTTATTTCTTCTCTACATAAACGACTCGCCAAGCACTCTGACATCATCATGCCATAATATTATTAGTATTATCAGTAGTATTATTTGTTATTATTAGGATCTACCTTTGAGAAAGCCGTGTTGAGTTGGACACAGCATAGAGTGCAAAGGCCTCCGTACCCGAAACTATTCTCTTTAGAAAAGTAAAGGCTCAGGGGAGATACGATAGAAGTATTCAAGATAATGAAAGGCGTTAGACCAGAAACCCTGTTCCAGGAAGCGCTAGATGCCTGTAAAAGGGGGCACGATATGAAGCTATCCAAGACCCCGTCTCGATTAATAGCCCGATCACACTTCTTCAGTAACAGGGCAGTTGACATATGGACTAGACTACCTGTGGAGCTAGTAGAACTGCAGACGGCACTGACATTCAAAACGGCCCTGGACGAACGTCGGTGTAAACTTGTTCCTGAATTGGAGGTCTGACAAGCTAGCGAATTGAGAAAACAAGAGGATTAAAAGCGGGTCACTCAGATTGAATCTTTTTGTTTTCGATCTGCTACGTATTAAGATGTAGATGAAGATGAACGCTCATGTATAACAATCTCTCGCCTTGGAGGTGCGATGAGGCATCTTTCCCTTCCTATTTTCAGTCAGGAAGCTACGGCCCACTTTTCGCAGTGGTGGGTGCCATACTTGACCGCACACCACCGAAGGAATTCTGGACGCTCGATTGGCCGTGTCCATTTTCTGTCCTGTGCAAACTGAACTGAACTAAACTGAACGACCTGGGGCTCATTTCATAATTTTGACGTAGTTAATTCTAGTCTCTTAATTACCAACTAGTGTGAGATAAACACCTACAAGCACCGATTTTCCAGCCACACAGCCTAAAACTGTGGCACACGAATGTGTGCAGCGTTGGAAACAAATGGGGTGAGCTAGCGATCAGGAGCGATATTGTGATCCTTACTGAAACTTGGTTATCCAAAAGCGTATAAGTCGAACAACAAGTCCCTCCAAACTTTACCCACTACAGAACTGATAGGGAGGGCAGGTGAGGGAGTGGGGTCCTACTGCTCGTCGTCGGCAATATATCTAGTGGGAAATACCTGAGCTAACACTCCAACCAAACAGTGCAAGCTATTGACTGCATTGTAAGAACTAGTGGCCGACACTTTTGCATATTAGGTGTCTAAAAATCACCAAACTCCAGACCGTAGGATGATCGAGCGCTAATAGATCTCATTGTCACAGTCGGTTGGGGAAATCACTCGTCGATTATAGTGGGGGATTTCAATCTACCCGGAATAGAGAGGCAGTATGAAGACGACGGATAGGGCCAAGCAGAACATGAATTCATGAACTGCTTCCAAGCGGCATCACTCTACCAGTACGTGAGAAAACCAACGCGTATCCGGCTAGGGTAGAGACCCTCTACCTTGAATTTGGTTCCCTCTCACGACAAGCGAGTGAGGTCAGCTACCTAAGACAGGAGGTTCCTCTCGGTAAAAGCGATCAGTATGTACTGCTTCTAGAAACATGCATTGCGGAAGAAAAGCCACCCCGCAGGTGGTGCCGCGATTTTGGGCGGATGAACGTAGAGGACATGAAGCGAGATGCTCAAGCCTGAGCATGATTCCCGCAGGGAACAGAAGCGTCCATCGATCAACGATGGGAATAATCCGCGACCAGCTATTAGAGCTGACGGAGAGGAATGCCTCTTTGCAGCCCCGTCGGGAAAGAGTACCCACAAACAGCAGTGGTGGAAGCCGACCATCAAACGCGCCATAGGGGAAAGGACTAAATGGTGGAATGCATTTGTTCTCTCAGGGGGCATGATCAATGGCTTCAATATAAGAAGGCGAGAAACTATGCAAAAAAGCTAGTAAAACAGGCGAAATGACCTTCGTGGTTAAAATCGCCAAGAGAGCACGCCAGGGACCCAAGAGGTACTATGGCTATGTGCAATCGAAGACTGCAATAAGACACTCGGTAAGCACTTTGGAGAACCCCGGAGGTGGGCTGTCTGTCTCAGATTAAGAAAAATGTGAGACGCTCAGGTATTTCAAAACCGTCTATAAAACAGACGATGGGCGTGCGGTTTCACGAGATTTTTTAGACACTCCTCCAATGAGTGATTTGGAAGTCTCATCTAGTAGTGTTCTTGATGTCATGGAGGGCTTGGATGTAAACAAGTCCGCTGGTAGCGACGGGCTACATCCCGCCGTCATCAAACCACTAACTCCTGTGCTCGCCCCTGTGATAACCGCACTCTACTAGGAGTCTCTAAGGGTTGGGAGAGTACCTGGAGATTGGGCGACTGCCACAAGGTAGCCAGAGTGGAGATAGGAAGCAATCTGGCAATTAACGACCCGTAAGCTTGACCAGCGTGCTGTGTAAGGGCTTAGAAACCATTAATAGGAATGCTCTCTGTGAGCACGTCACTCGACATAGGTTAATTAGCTCTGCTCAGCACGGCTTTCTCTAAAAGAGGTCGTGTTTGAGCAACCTTCTTCTTTTCTTAGCCGAGGCTACGAAAGAGGTTAGCTGAAGGTTAGAAAGTCGAAGTGTGCTACCTGGACTTCAGGAAAGCTTTCGACTCGGTATATCACCGGCTCCTGCTAGTAAAACTCAGGGGTTTTGGTCTTCTAACAACTCTAGTTAGATGGATAGAAGCTTTCCTCACCAACCGAACTTATAGAGTTCGGGTGGGAGAAGCTCTGTCAAACGTTGGCAACGTATCCAGGGGAGTGCCTCAGGGCTCAGTGTTAGGTCCGATGCTCTTTCTGCTGTTCATAAATGACTTGGTCCAAGAGCTAGCTGGTCTTGGGACTTGGAGCTAAATGTCACCAAGTGTCACATTCTAAATACCGTAGGGCTTCCGGTTCGAGTGGCTACGACCACTGAACCGGCGGTCTTCACTCGCGTAGACTGAATGCTGGATCTGGGAATTTTGATCAGCGAGGACTTTCAGACCAGTGATCAATACCTGACCGCCGCACAAGAAGCGGGGGGGGGAAATTGTTCCAGCTCGAAGCGGCCCTGTCGTCAAGGAAGGCTGANTTTTCCTACCTCTATATAAGGCCATGGTTAGACCGCAGTTAGAATACTGAGTGCAGGCTTAGGCGCCTTACTTGAAGAAGGATATCATCTGCATTGAGAGGGTTCAGCGCTGAGCTACTAGGATGATCGCGGAGATGAGAGGTAAGTCATATAGGGTGAAGTTAGAATCCCTAGGGCTTTTCTCCATGGAGAGGAGACGCCTGAGGGTCGACGTTATTGAGACCTTAAAAATAATGGAGGGGCCGACTGAGCGAGAAGCCGAAAGCCTGTTTACCCGAGCACCGCTTGAGTCAACAAGGGGGTATCATCTGAAGCTAATGAAGCCCAGGAGCCGACTCAATCTCAGACACAACTTATTCACGAGTAGAGTGATAGATGAATGGAACCAACTACCGTCCTCATGACTAGACTGTAGGACAGTCGAGGAGTTCAAAAGGCAACTAGATGGGAACTGGAT